AACCATAAGATATGATACATAAAAATGTAAATGGTTAGATGGGGGGAAAGAGAGCAGGAGAGAAATAAGGCTCCTCTCCATTGCTGTTTCTGCAATGACCTCATCTCTCTTTCACCCCACTCTTTTGCTCTTGCTTGGTTTGATTCTGTGTCTCTCTATCTTTCACTTTCTCGTATCAAGCACACACTCCCTCTGTGTTTCTTAAGCACATGCTCCCTCATCCTCGGTCACCCTAACCACCTCATTTCTCCAGCCCTCCCTCCTCTCCAACTCTCACTCTGTGCGTAATTCAATCATCCCAAGGAGATGGATATCCGTCCCCTAGGAGCGCTTACGCTCTCCATTTCCTAAAGCGCTTGATCAGATTAATTGATTGTCCCCCCCTCATCTCTGCGCCCCCTCTGCCGACTGAGGCTGGGGTGGGGGCGGAGGGTGTGCAGAAATCAGGTTTGCATTGATATTTTTATAAAATGGCTTTTTCCTTCTGCCCCCAGACAGACCCCATAAAAGGACAAAAGGGAATAGATAAAGTACATGAGCCAGGAGAAGGGGGGTGGTGGGTGACATGGAAGGGTGGAAGCCTGCAGGAACAGACAGGCAGGATTTATAAAGAGGACAAAACAACAACCTGGAGCATACAGGCGACACAGAGCTGAACAGCAGATCAAGGGACAAGATAAAGTAGATAGGCAATCAATTAAATAAAATAAACAAGGCTGTTTTGGGGGTGTACAGTACATGTGAGGTGAGTGTGAGCATGCATCTGTGTAACATGATGTTTGGCTGCAAGCCTGCAGAGCACAGCAGAGGGTAGAGATGGGAGAGTCGAACCAAGCCCCACAGGGAACGCAGGAAGCCCTCAACTCATCCATTATAACTGAGAGCCAAGCGGCTGCCATGTCTCCTGATTGCTGAGTCCCTGTAGACCTGTCTCTCTCTCTTTCTCTCTCTCTCTCCCTCTTTTTCTGTTCCACTCTTTTTCTCTATCTCTCTCTTTTTGGCACTGGGGATCGTAGTAGATTTCGGTGCTGTTCCAGGCCTTTGGCTTCTATGTGGTGGCAGGGGCCAAATACACACAAACATACACAGGCTCATGCGCACACGCACACACACAAGCACGTAAACACACAGGCACACAAATACACATAAAGGATAGGAACTCACTCCTCTCTCTCTCTTATCTATCTGCCGCACATGTTCCCCATACGTGTAAAGCTTTTACCTGAGCGCGCCATTACAGCTGAGGCTTTTACCTCTGGAGAGCCAAATTACCTTTCAGATGCAACCTTCCCTTTTTCAACTTGCCCTTGACATTTAGTTCACTTGCATTTCCCCCGTACATATAGACTCAAACACACACTATAAAACCACTTGCATAGACCAGCATGCAAGCACGCACATAGACACACATGCACACATGCACACACTAAGTTGTATGTCCCCAGGCTCATAATTCTTTATCAGTTAGACCTCACACATTTTCTACACATTCTTCTTGTTCTACAATATCTTCTATGTTCAACAAATACTGTATGTTTGCAGGGTAGAACCCACAGCTTAGGATCATGCTGTAACCACTGGGTAGAGTATGTTCTTTTAAGCTGTGTTTCAAGGTTTGCATTAACAGTCAAGGCTCACTTTACATTTGTTTAAGTAAGAAAACAAGAGACTAGTCCTATCAATAGGGAAGTATTCATCCAATTAGGCTACCCCAGCACTGTACTTATTGCCATCCATATTACAATAATTATAAGAAGACTTCTCCACCTACACTAATGCATCCAAACACAGGATGTTTTGAAACCATAAAATATGATAGGACTGCACAAATAATTGTAGATAATTAGAAATTGATGTTTTCTCTTTTCACAATTAATCATGTACTTCATTAAAACCCCAATATGCAATATTTTTGATATTATCATTGATTTAAATTACTACTTGTTAAATTAAGTGGTTGGTATCTGCTGATCCCACTGTGAAGCAACACCACCATTTGCAGTTCTATATGCAAGTCATTTGCAAGACTGCAAAGATTTTCTATGCTCTCTGCCCAGCATGAAACCTGTATTTATTGAGGGATTTTTAAAGAAAGCATTTAGTAAGCCAAACAGACTGAGATATATTTTTCAGGGCCGAACTAAAATTACAGCACCTTATATTTCACAAGTAGCAATAAAGAGGATTACAAAACTCAGAAATTAATTTGGGTTTGTTTCTGCTTAATTTTGTCATGCGATGCATATCAAAGCTTGTTGCTGTATGCTAAAGTCTACTCTCCATCATCAGGCAGTCAAAGCTCACTTTTCAAGCTTCAAAGAGGAACTTAACACCTGAAAATCAATTTTTTGACCTCCACTGCTTTCAGTGCAGGTGTGTTCAGTACTGGTAGTGACCCACGCAACAGTGCATGGTTCTGACAACATCCAATAGTGATGCCAAGTTGGACCAGAGGTGCAACAGATATTGAACTTTTAAGTCAAGGAAACAGTGCTTAGAGTTAAGTTAATTTTTTTAATCTTGATTTCATGACATATGACTGGAATTACGTGCATTACATAAAGACTGGATAAAGAACCAATCTTAAAACTGTCGAAAACAAGTAGTGACAACGTTTACTTCAGGGTTACAACTGCATCCATTACAACAAGTAATAGAAAGTCATCATTTCAAACCTATAAATTTGGCCCAAATAAGACTGCAAAAATGAAAACAAGATAATGACTGAAAATTTGAATAGTTAGAAATATAGTCTAAGGAGCTCAACATGTAATCTTTTTAATGATTATGGCATCCCATATGATCACAGTAGCTAAACTAGGATTGCTAATTGTTCAGCAGCAACACTATATGCAGCAAAACTAATACTGAGAGTACACCCTCCACTGCCATCAAAGAATGTTAGGGAAACACAAGAAATTGTTTCCACAGTAGGTTATGACAAAACTGATTTTCCACCAGAATATTAACGCACGCAACTGCCTACAGCCCACTGCTGGGCCATTATGGTGTGAGAGGGGAAATGTTAATGACATGCAGCAGATGATTCATCGAGCGCACAGAATCACATGCTGCTGCTCCCTGCTGCTTGGAGGGGGAACAACCATGTTAGTGGCAGGAGGCAAACGGGAACTATGTGCACCTGTACAGAGGAGATGCCGGTATTGATTGGAGAGATCTGTTTTGCTAAATATGCAGCCTGTTTGTCTATTTCATGGTCAATTTCAGAATTTGACAGTTGCATCGGCTGTTTACTGCTGCACAGAGGCAACCATGTACACACAGCATCTTTGTAGGACGGAAGCTGAACCTCTGACCTGAACACATACACACCCATCAATGCAGACAGTCAAACTGACTCGCACATACACACACAAACACATGTGAGCACACACACTCTGTATGCTTGAGTACTCAGCCTACAAACTAAATCAACACACCATTTATTTTTCTTTCCGAAAGACTGTCTCTTTCTTACTTTCCCCAGACTTTTTATTTGCTAGGGGGCTGAGCTCTCAGACTGGGATTGATCCTGAGCTGCCGTCTTGAACCTGTGCCCCGAGGGCAGCTCAGTGCAAACACGCAGCTACCCCTCTCCACTTACTCCAATCATGGTTACACTCTCTGTTACACTATAACCACATATACGACCACACAACAGATGAATGCACCAAGTGCAGACCATCTGCACCTGGAGTGTTTTAAACAAGAAGAAAGCTGATGAAGACCAATTTTAGGAAAACGGAAAAATGTATCTCCTCCATTAAAACCGAGATTGTTTTAAAGAAAACACTCCAGACACTTGTTCACAGTCCAAGTGCAAACTCAAACAGTCCCAATGAACTCGTCTTTAGCCAAGGATTGTAAAAAATGACTAGTGTTTGTATAAGTATTGGGGGGGAAGTCAATAAGCATAACAGCCATACTTGATATGACAGCAATTTCATCCAGCAAATTCCATTTGCTGAGTGCTTTTTCATGGACAGAGCACAAAAGAAATCCATTATTTTTTGCAAATGCAAAGACTCATTTGAACATTATACATAAATAATTCATACAAAGAGAGTTGCTTTTACAGTGTTTTCACCTGAAGACAGACAGCTAACTAGCGAGAAAGCTCACTCACCCACCCACCCATCCTCCTCTCTTTGAAGTAGGAGAAAAGGGAGGAAAAGGGCATAATTTGTTTGATTCATTTATCGTAGCTTACTATGAATAAATGTCATTAAGAGTGGTTGCTGCACGGCAGTTGTGAAGTTATGGAATAGCTGGCAGCATAGTGGGAGCTGAAATAAAGCAACATGGTGATTAGAAGAATGCATCCATCCCACACACACTGTGCCAGTCAGGAGCCTAATGGCTCTGTGGAGGCTTTTGTGTTCAAACACACACACACACATATAGTACACACACAAATACATACACAATTACTCCCTGTGTTTTTCTGTGACTGCCCTGAGTTCCTATAGAGGATGTGATTGATAGGTTCTGTGGGACAGGTGGAGCATTCAAGTGAGCTAATCTACACTGCCTCCTACAGGATAACAGCCCACATTGGACCTGTGAATGTGTGAGTACTGTCATCATCCCCTTCAGCTAAGTCGATAATGCTGACAATAAATGGTGTTTGCATAGCACATATCAACTTTTAATATTCAACCACCACATATTCTTGACAGCAGAGGTGGACTTAAGAAGAAGACTGTGCACAAAGACAACTGTATCTCAGAGTTGAGTGTAATTCTAAATGAAAAAATTCTTGGGTGTTCTCTGTCAAATATTTTCTTCATGGCCTGATTGATGTTTTTTTCTTTGCAAGCTTTTAATTAGGTCCCAATAGCTTTGCATGTGCTCCTAAAGGTGATTTCGAGAACCTACCCACATCCCAATTCTGACATACAATCTTCCCTAATGGCAAATTTACTACTTTAGCCTTTTTGTCAATACTTTGTGAAAACCATAAGCATTAGTCGATCATTACCAAATGGCAGCGCCCCTACCTTCCATGCAATGCGGTTGCCTTTGGTGTCATGCTCCAGTGCCATCGGAAACTCTCCCCGCTCATAGAATTTGCGAAAGTTGGTTGGTTTAGAAGGACGTTCCCGAAAAGCCCCTGCAGCTGGAGGACCCACCACCTGGTCAGACACAAAAGAGAAAATTGGAGTGAGGAGAAAGGAGTAAAATAGAGAAATAAACAGAATGAGACATATACAACAAGTGAGAGTGTTGTCCTATGAAATCAGAATTGACTGTGTTTTCTCCTACAAGAATAGAATCACTCCCACTGCCTTTTCTTTAAAGTAATTCAGGGAGACACATGTGCCTGCTTCTCTGCTCCTCTAAGGAAGGCAAAACACAGATAGTGTGCGCTTATGTGTGCATATGTGTGTGTGTGTTGGCCCTGTAGCCAGAGGCACTGCCAAAGGCATTGTTCGGATCATCTTTTTTCTGCCTCCATATTGGATATGTGCTATTACTGTGCCACTGAAAGCCAATGGGACTCCTATCACATCAGTCACAGTGTCTGCTGCTACTTCTGCGGGGGCCATTGGTGGTGGTACCCATACAACAGATGTAAGGAAATACAGCACATTGGAGTGGAAAGGAGAGGGAGTGAAGATTTTAAGATTAGAAAAAAGAACTTGTCATTTTAACACTGTTTTCTGCAGGACAAACAAATTGGTGTTACTATTCAATTTTAAATTAAATTAACATGTTGAAAGATAATACAGATGCCCCAAAAGGACTAATTACCCAANTACTTCTGCGGGGGCCATTGGTGGTGGTACCCATACAACAGATGTAAGGAAATACAGCACATTGGAGTGGAAAGGAGAGGGAGTGAAGATTTTAAGATTAGAAAAAAGAACTTGTCATTTTAACACTGTTTTCTGCAGGACAAACAAATTGGTGTTACTATTCAATTTTAAATTAAATTAACATGTTGAAAGATAATACAGATGCCCCAAAAGGACTAATTAAACAATACCTACAAAGAAACATTCATACTCCATTGACATAGTAACCGAAACCTCTCAGTGAAGACCCAGTGGTGAGATTGTTCAAGTGGGAACCACTCATGTACTTGAGGAGTTTGGATTTATTTGATTGAAAACATTAGAGCTTTGCAAACAGCATGTTTTAGTGGACGAATGACAGAATGTTGGAGCCAATCTTTTCCCTGTCTGTGTCCCTTGTGTGCATCCTCCACCATCTGTGTCGCGCTGCCACATGACTGGCAGATGTGTTGCTGTCATTAATCCTCAGATTACCACCCACTGAGAAACAGAATTTTGCCACAGCAGCCCACAGGCAGAGCAAAGTGGGAATGGGATGTGTTATCTTTGGCATGACTGCCTGACTGAGAGATTTTAAAGAGGTTTTAGTCTGTTACTATGATTCTACCCAACGGTAGTTTAGATTTTTATGTTACATCATTCACTAGTGTTGCCTGTTTGTTGCATAATTCAAAAACAAAATAGATATGGAAAAGCCTAGAACCACAAATGTAGCTCAGTAAATCCGCCACCAAGGAATGATGTAACATAGATCAAAGTTTAAGTTGCACGTGCAACATGGTGTAGCTGGTGCCAGCATAGCAAGGCTCAAGAGAAACAAGAAGAGAGGAGAAACTATTATGAGGTACCCTCCGCGAGTGTCTCTGAGCACTCACTGCATTTAAACAGCCCTAATGCACCGTGGGATCGCAGCGCAGTCATTTCAAATGAATTCGTTTGGAGCATTTGTTTACCATGCCAGGGAATTCTGAATAATATTATGCTGAATTAATAGGCACAGGTTTGTATACCTGCAGGAAAAAGACTACCCAAACAAAATGTCTGTGACTAACAATGCATGTAAAACACAAGAAAAGACACTTTGCAGTATCACCTACTGTACTAGCAGAAAATAAATCCTTCACAAGAAATAATACACATATTCTTGCTATCATCTTTTAAATTGCATCTTTTATTTTGAGTACAATTTTAGTTACAATGGCGTGTTTACTCATGAAGGATAACAAAAAATTGTTTCACCAGTTCTTTTGTATAACACTGTAAATAGTGCACTTCTGAAAAAGAGATTGCTTCTAGTTTTCCTTGTATTAAGTTTGAATAAATTAGTCAATAATCGTTTGAATTGTTTTAACTTAGTATCATCATTAATAGTTGAGTTCAGATTGGCTCATTAGAATGCTCTTTCTGTCACAAGTATACGGTAAGTTAAGACAAGTATGAAATGCCTTTTGTTGTTTCATTTAGATGCAACATATATCACTATTATCTGTTTGTCTTCCCTCTTTTCTCTGTCTGTCTCTGTTCATTCCTTTCACTGCAGGAGTTGTTTTGCAGCCCTAGCAGAGGAAATAGGAAGCTGTAAAGCTTGCAAGATCAGTGCTGCTCCAGCCTGCAGGAGTGACAAAGCCCTAATATCCAGGTAGCTACGACGGCAGTTGAGCCACGCTGCACTGGGAGGCTAAAAATAGCTCAGACTGGGCAGTGGGGAGAGAATGAACCCAGACTGCACTGACTGGCTGAGCAGCTTTTATGGTCAGGAATGATGACGCTGCAGTCAATTCCATGGCCTGTGTTCATGGCTGAGGTATTGCGAGCTTCACGGCTATTTCCCCATTTTCTCTCCAGTTATGATCACTTACACACCAACAGTCAGAAGCATGCATGCACAATGGCATATTTTCTTGTGGCTCTGCTCACCTTACAAAAAGCCAGACACAGAAGCCATTTCCTCCATCACTGATGTAAGCTGCTCTTCCAAGAAGCTTGAGGAGAACTGTAATAGTAACAGCATTGTGGGGAGATTATCACCAGCCGGTTTCCTGATGCCATTCCATTGATCTCGCTGCTCCTGTTCTGCCATTCATGACATTTGGGTCTAAAGCTTCCGCATGCTGAGAGAAAAACCACTATCGCTGAATCCCAATAGCTATACCCACTATGCTAGTTTGTCTTAGAGCAGCTTAACAAAGACTAGAGTTTGTTTCATCAGTTTTGAAGTCTTCTGTGAAACAACATGAACTTATGGACAGATCATGACAAGCATTTAATTTAAGAAGCACACAGTGTCCGTGTTGTGAGCAACAATCTCTCTAAGTTCTTTCTTGTATGAACGGGCAGGGATTTGTGTTTATTCAATTTAGACTAGCCATGCTGAAAACAACAACTGCTGCTGATTCCGTTGTACTGTTAGCCAGCATGTGTCATCATTTCTAGCTCTACTCATTTGCCAAACACATTTCAATCATTGTATGATTCTCCTGTCTTGATCTGTTCTACCTGCATTTGTTGGTGTGAGTAGCCACAAAGGTGGTTCTACACAGCCCCATGCAGCCAAGCACACCCCTGTGTTATCAAAAATTCATCACTCTTCTAAAACACTGGCATAAACACTAACACAGACAGTGAAAAAGACAGACAAAAGGAGCCTATAGACCTATACAAGCAGATAACATCCCGCTCCTCAGTGGAGGCCATAAAGCGAGCCTGTGAGGCGACAGACTACAGAACAGAGATAGAAGTGGTGTAAGGCAATAAAGGAAGGAAGTGTCTGTTTTGTGTGCCCCTGGTGTACACATCAGGGAGTCATAACAAGGCAGTACTGGTCAGATGAGCTCCAGGCTGTCATTTCTCTCCTTCGCCTTCACTCTGCCTCCAGATCTGTTTCCTCCCTAATGCTGTTGTCCACTCCAACTAGCTCCACCGTAAACCTGGCTGCTGTAAGACCCACAGAGGCAATAACACACAAACATGCACTCACGCACGTACACACTCGCTCACACAGTGCACATGCTGAGCTCCCCATGGGCGAGCCCCTGCAGAGGTGATTGAACACCGGCAGGGCCTCGTGCTCCTGTCATTTATAAAGGTGTCACCCTGAGAAACAGAGATGCTCCCTCTAACCTTATTAGTATGGCACTTCCATGGCTCTTCCGCTTGATGTTGACATACAGAGTGGGTGGGGTAGTCAAAAGGCACAAGCAAAAAACAGAAAGAAAGAAATTACGAGAGGCTGAGGTGGGATAAAGGTGGAGGATGTGATAGGCCAAGAGGGAGACAGGCACATGAGGAAGCTGGAAAGAAATGGAACAAGAAAGAACAGAGAGACAAAGAGAGAGGATATCAAGAGATGGAGGATGGGGGAGGGTGATGGAGGAATAGTGGATATGAGAGGAAGAGGGAGACAGGGAGACAGGGAGACAAGAGGTGTGGCTCATCAATTCTGAGGGTGAGTTCAGCGTGGCGGGGCTGCTGCAGCATGTAGGTGATCCATCACTGTGCCTGGGCCTCCAGCTCCATCGCTCTCTCATCTCTCCATCTCTCTGCCCCCATACCACCACCCAAAAACACCTCTGAATACCTCTGATTGATATCTAGAGAAGGACTGCCAATTCATTGTCAACCCTGCGTTGCCATCGCTGCTGCACTTCCTAAAATGAGAACCTCATTAATCTCCCTCTTCTTCTTCTCCCTTCTTCTGCCTCTTGTCTGTGAGGGCAAAAATGCATTTTGTTGCATTGCATTTGTCGGGGAACAAGGGTGCCACTGCACATGGGTGCATTATATCACCTGTTTAGTGAGGCAGCAAAAGGGGAAGGCACCCTCTTGCTTGCTCGCTCTCTCTCCCTCTGCATTTCACTGCTGTTCTCGGTTGAGAGGTTATTGAAATCTAGCTCTGTACAGAAGGCCTCCTTTCCTGAGGGAGGGAGCAGGGTAGGTGAGTCACAGAGGATGGAATAGACAGGCTGAGGCTCTCCTGATAAGGTCAGCATGCACATTGCTGCCGCAGGCAACAAAATTAGCTCTCTATATTTACAGGGCATTTTCTGCCATGGCCCAACCGGCTGCCTGCCCGTTGCCCACCAGGGATACAGACTGGGCTAGAGATGTGTGCTTTATTCTCAAACTGCATTCAAATGAACAAGAAACAGACAACATTTTGGAGGTATTTAAGCTGTTAGGGAATGTCTGCTATATGGTCATGTCCAAACAATTATTCAACAGGATATTTTTGCCTACTCATTCCCTCTGTAGGGCAAAACACAGACTGGTGGGAGGCTGATTCCTTTCAGAAGAATAAATCTGCAATATTTGTGCAGCACTCCATTAATTTCTCATGA